CACTACTAGTGGGGGGGTACTGCACTTGGCGCGTCGGGCAGATCAAATAATGGTCTAAAGCTAGACGTTAAAACCGGGAAGTTAAGCCTGTGGAGGCTCTTCCCCACCTTTACCTTTACCTTTACCTCCCGCTGCCTACCTGCAGAGCGCCCTGCAGCCCCAGCCCCGGCACCGACCGCCGCCCCAGCGGCACTGGCGCCTGCTGCCGGCCGCGGCCGCGGCTAAGAAAGGCCTTCTTTGAAGGCGCTGGAGCTAGTGTCTAAACCCTCCGAGAGGGCACAGGTTCGATTCCTCCCATGTCGAAACTTTGTGAGGACAAACGCGGCATAGCTGACCGGCTCAGCGCCAATCCAAGCCAATTCCTTCGGGAACGCCTATTAGAATCGCCAAGGCTTCGGCACAGGCCTCCCCGGGACCCATTCACTACTAGTGGGGGGTACTGCACTTGGCGCGTCGGGCAGATCAAATAATGGTCTAAAGCTAGACGTTAAAACCGGGAAGTTAAGCCTGTGGAGGCTCTTCCCCACCTTTACCTTTACCTTTACCTCCCGCTGCCTACCTGCAGAGCGCCCTGCAGCCCCAGCCCCGGCACCGACCGCCGCCCCAGCGGCACTGGCGCCTGCTGCCGGCCGCGGCCGCGGCTAAGAAAGGCCTTCTTTGAAGGCGCTGGAGCTAGTGTCTAAACCCTCCGAGAGGGCACAGGTTCGATTCCTCCCATGTCGAAACTTTGTGAGGACAAACGCGGCATAGCTGACCGGCTCAGCGCCAATCCAAGCCAATTCCTTCGGGAACGCCTAATAGAATCGCCAAGGCTTCGGCACAGGCCTCCCCGGGACCCATTCACTACTAGTGGGGGGTACTGCACTTGGCGCGTCAGGCAGATCAAATAATGGTCTAAAGCTAGACGTTAAAACCGGGAAGTTAAGCCTGTGGAGGCTCTTCCCCACCTTTACCTTTACCTTTGCCGGCACCGCCCCGGCGGCAGCTCCCTCCGCGCCTGCGGCTGCGCCGGCGCAGCAGCCGGCACTGCGGATCG